TTCTAAAATTTTTATAATTATAAGATTTTCACAATCAACTTAATTAAAATAGGAAGTATTTAATATCTTAAAAATATTTTTGATGATAAAATAAATGCTGAATTTACTTTCATATTAAAAAAAATAAGTTTAATTTTGAATATACAACCAGTAATATTTTAGAAGAACAATTTTGATAGATAATCTTATTAAAATGTATATAAATATATTTGATAGTTATATTTTTTTAAGATGTTTTAATGTAGAAGTAAGAATTAATTATAATATGAAAACAGTGAGTAAGAGTTATAAAAATAATTGGAAAAATATGATTAGCTAACTAACGTCTAAAATTGAAAAAATGGTTAACTATAATACTGGGTTTGTATTTCCATTATCCTTTATATTCTTTGATTAATAAATTAAGTATTCAAATTAATTTATTTGCATCAAAAGGATAAAAGGCTTATGGATAAGGAGACTGTAGACAAGGCTAGCTTGGTACTGGAAGGATAGTAATTGATTATTTTCCTGCTGAAATACCTCTTCCTTCATTCGAAGGACATCTAAAATAAGTCAGTTATGGTGATAATCACACGCTTTTTCTAACAGACTAAGGCGAAGTATTTGCTTGTGGTAACAACTCTGTTGGCTAACTAGGAACTAGTTAAATCGAGTCTTTATCTAACTAATATTCGCATAAAATAATAACAACAAATATCTTCTAATATTTATAATTCTAGAATTATTATTTTTTTAGAGAAAATTAAAATAAAATTAATAAAATATTTTTTTTTAAATGAAAATTTAATTTTATAATATATTGTTTATTTCATTTCTTTGTTTTGTTAATTTTGAATATTTTTTTAGGTATGTTTGGGGCACAGCTTTCTTTGGATATTTTGATGAACCATAATTTATTTAGGCTGATGGCATTTTTTGGAAAGGATTCACTTAAGAGAATAATTTTATTTGACTGACAGATGATTAAGGAAAAGCTTATTCTTGGGGATAAAATATCAATGAAGAATTAGATTTAGGATTGTATCCAAGTCATCAATAATAAGCTTATCCTTAAGAAATTCAAATAAATATGGAAGATAAATATGTTAAGAAAATAGAAATGTGGATAACACTTTTCATTTGCTGTA